CATTTTCTAATCAAGGTTCCAAAACTACCAAATAAAAAAAATTGTTTTCTTTCTTTAGCAATAAAAAAACAAATAATGAACTTTGATTCTACAAGCTAATTAAGACCCCAAAGAAGAAAGTAAACCGTTCAAAACACTTTGAAATGTGCGATAAGGAAACGGTAAAGAGAACAAACAAAGGCTGCTATTGCGGCATACTAGCGTATACAAGAGTAAAAAAGACTTGAACTTCAGGCATATCTCTGATGAGTTGTAAGAACCGATTCTTGGCAGGTTCAGCTGTAATCACAGGTATTGTCTTCTCAATCTGTGGTAACATCTTCGCCAATGGCATCCCCGTAGCTAAACCACCGGCTACACTCTCAGTTTCCATTTCCTCTACCAAAGCATCCGTGAAACACTTGAGCGAAATGTCGACTATATCTGTGAACTCAGTGCTGCAAACAAGAAAGAAGACTAAGGGATAAGTTCATTCCTCATGAGTCTAATGCAGAGAGAGTGAGACATTATTTACCTGGTTAGTACTTCCCGTGTTTCCACCATAAGTTGATGAAACTTGGTCACAGTTTCATCAGAAGAGCCAACACTTGTGTTTCTTGGAAGCTTTGTGCCGTGAGGCATCATTAGATAATCAACCCAGTGATGTGGATGTCCAGTGCTCATGAACACATCCACAATCCGTAACACGGTTTCTTGAAGAACTCTTGTGGTAATCACATCCTTTAACTGCATTCTGCAATTAAAACACACACACACACACACACACAAACGTGTTTGATTGTCCCGAAAATTGTCAGACTATAACAATCTAGATACGGATTTGCAGCATACCCTTTAAGAACTTCCTTGACAGCAGTTTGCATATTTAAAATCAAACTCGGCATTGCATTGGTCACAAGAAAATCAGCACTTGATAAGAATTTCTGTTCATCATCTCTATCAATGAGATCTAACTCTTCCTGCGAAAACAAAATCACAGGACAAACAGTGGTTGCTTTAAAAGGTAACCAGAACTATATCAAGGACTAAAGAGTACAAACACTTCCAGTTCTTATCAGTATATAACACAAGAAAGCCGATTCCAAAATATTAACACATAAAATTCAACTGCATAGTTTTTACCGCAGTCAAACAGAGCTACTAGAAAGACAACCAAAGACGTTCTACTAGTTAGTGACACTGCATCCTACTTACAATCAACTGAGAACAGGGAAAAACGCGTGGAGTGTCGTTTAACAAGCCCCGAGACGAGGGGAAAGGATATTATCTTCTTACCAGTAAATGGGAGTTGCCAAGAGCTCGTGCGGTGTCAACATACAAATGTCTTCCCAGAATGTTGACTTGAACCCTAATGTACAAGCTAAGCATCGTCACTGACCACAGAGACAAAACCATCCTAGTGAAACCTGCAAAGAGGGAGGACACAAACAAATACCAAGTAAGAAAAACATAGAATTTTCACACTCAAACACAAGTTAAAAAAAAAAGATGTTCAATATCGAGTAAGTAGAGGTAAGTGTGCATTACTCAAAATCTTGAGCTCGTCCCAGAGGTGAAGCTTCTCAGACTGACTCAACAACCCTTTCCCTCTGTTCAGTCTCTCCATAACACTAGACACATCAATCTCTTCCCTGACACGAATACTCAAACACTGGATCGCGTGAGGCAGTGTGGTCGAGTCCACAATCATCTGAATGTTCTCGAAATGGGCTTTCATTCTAATCAAAAGCACCAAAAGGATAAGATGAGTAAGAGAATCTGAATAGAGGTTGATTAGGTTCAAGAACTTAACTGAGCTTTGATGTTTTCGTCATGTTCACGGTCGTTAGCGAGTTGTCGTTGCAAATCAGCAAGCCTACGAGTATGTGAGTTGTATAGCTTGTAGAGGAAGTACCCACTTCCCAAACACCCCGCCGTGACGAGAACCTTTCTTCTATGCTTACTCCAAAGACCCCTTAGTTTAATTCAAGAAGATGCTGAATCAGTTAAAAACCCTAACTTTGTAGGAAGAGAGATAGAGAGAGAGAAGAGAAGCAAAAGACCTGACGAAATCCATGGCTGATGGGTTTGAAGTGAGATTGAAATTTTGAGGAGATGGGTTTTGTTTTCAGAGATGTGATTGACTCGAAGGAGTTAAACTTTATCCAATTCCCTCTTCTTCGAAATTCGGACATGTAAATCCCCGACCGAGTTCCCTTACACGGTCGGTGACAGTCGCCGTCGTTCTCTTTCTTAGGGATAAATAGAATTGACCCAACTCGGTTTGTTTAATTGAACCGACTTTGATTCTATTTCATTTATGCTTGTCGGTAGAGGCTTCATGTGATTATCAGAATCACTTGAGCACAAAACAAGATATTAGCTCCAGCCATTACCGTAAACACCACTAGATAGACTTGTCTCGGCGTTTTTAACTGAAACCAAACCAAACCAAAATATAAGATAGTGGACCAAACTAAAATATAAGATAGTGGACCAAACCAAATGATTTATAAATATTTAAAAGGCTTCAAAATTCTTATATACAAAATTATAATTAAAAAACGAAATTTACCAAATCACCATAATAAGATTTCTTATTTTATTGTATTTTGAAATCATAAATATGAAAAATATAATTCAAATATCGAGTATTTATGTCTAAATATATTTTCTTGTCAACTTCTAAATATATTTATAACTACCTACTATCTTATCTAAAATAAATTCCCCTAAAATCAATGTTTTTAAATCCGACCCGACATTGAACCGGACGACTTAACGGGTTACTGGGTCACTGGATCAACCGCGGATGAACCATAGGTTAATAAATGAATTAATTTTATTATATAACAAAATATTAGCTATGAAATAAAAATAAAGAACCTAAAGTTTAATACTTTCTAATCTTTTTTAAAACATAAAATAATAGTTTGGATATGTATATATTTTATTTTAAAAAAATTAAGAAAAGTACTTAACTTTAGTCTTATATTTTTTTTATTTTCATTTGGCATACAAAATATCAAAACTAGTTTAGACTATTTAAATTTTAATGTGAATAATAAATTAAACTTCAAATTCAAAAAAAAAAAACAGCAAAACATCATTGTAATAAATTTTCAATAACAAAAATAAATTAAAACCAAATCACATCAACTAATTTTGGTTTTCTCTACCATCGTTAACTTCATTTTTTTGAAGAGTCATAGAAAGATTTTCATGAAAATCTAAAAATCACAAATATAAAATTGAAAAGTGAAAATATAACTTTTTAATTGGAAATTTAGAATATAAAATAGAATCTGAAAACATAATTAAAAACAGAAAGAAAATTAGTAAAAGTTATATATTGGTTCAACCGGTATCGGTTTTGAATTTTAGTGAGTTTTCGTGAGTTTTTGTGAGTTTTTAAAGTTTGGATTTTTTTAAAAAAATCCAAACCGGATTTATTCTGAGTCACCGAGTTTACCGGTGCAACCACGGGTCCGGATCGGGTTTCAAAACACTGCCTAAAATTATGTGAATTATTAATGTTTTATAAAAATAATTCGATTTTCTGATATTTTATTTAAATTAACCAAAATTATTTAAAATCAAACTGAACGAAAAAGGATCTAATTAATGGATATTATACAGTTTTATTTTTTTATTATCTAAACCAACTTCATTAAGATAAACTGTATAATACTTTTGTTTCAGAAAAAAAAACAGATCAAATATTTAAACGCTTAAAACTTGTAAACACAGACACATATCTATACTATTAAAAGGAAATAAGTTATAAAAATTCTACTTATGAAACGCTAGTTCACCTTTTCATTAGACTAATTCTTTTTGGTCTTTCCTAATATTTTTCCAACAATACTGTAAAATAACATTATATCATATAATTTACCTTTATATTTCTCTAACAATACATTAGTCAATATTCTTATTTATTATACATTACTCTTATTAGTCAATATTTTTATTTCTCCATAATACATTACTATAACCTTATACCATATAATTTCATAATACGTGACTGATTTCACCCACTATACAAAAACTATATCATTTGCTTGAGCCACCAACGCAGAGACCTTGCAGCTGAGGAAAGGGTTGGCTATGCAACAGTATCCTCCATCCTTTCCAATGATTAGTTTTCATAGCTGATGTTTGATAAATGGAGAGTATATAATATATTGAACATCTCCATTCACGACAAATATGTTTAAAGCCAAAGATATTATTATTTTTAGAGTAAACCTATTTATATACTATCTATTTATAGCATAGTATATGGTAATAATACAAAAAAAAACTGGTTTATTATCATAGTGTTCTAATGTTTGGAGATATTTATACAAACAAGTTATAAAATTAATGATTTATTATTCTAGAGAAATTTTAAAGCATTAATTTTATTTTAAAAGATATCTAGATTCGTGAAAGATCGTAACTTATACTTTCAATATTTTTATGAATAATCTAATTTCTATGTATTTTCAGTGTGGTAATTTCTAATTTCCAGATATGTAGCGGGTCTGGGCAAGCTTGGATATTTAGAACCCGAAGTACCAATAAACCAAAAAAATATTTGAAAAATACTTCAAACCATAAATAAATACTCAAAATATATTCAAATACCTGAAAACGTTGAATTTTACCTAATATGACTCGAAAAACAAAATATATCCAAAACTTTGATTTGAATATCAAATATATATATATATATAGTCAACTTTTGACCTGATTTGGATTTTTCAGTTTTTGGAATTTTGTTATTAATAAATCTTTACTCTAGCAAAATTAGATGAGCCTGATTATTAATGATTTTATGTTATTTATATATTGATTAATCCACATAGTTTAGTGGGTTAGCATTGGGCCGAGCAAGAAGACCCAAACAACTTAAAAACCAAACAAACCCCTACTTATGAGTCTATAAACACTCGTTTCTTGTCACCTACATTTCTCTTCCCTCTCCGTCGCCTCTCTCCGAATAAACCCTAACTTCACTCCTCAAACCCTAAACCATGGCGGAGGGACTCGTCCTGAAAGGCACAATGTGCGCCCACACCGACATGGTCACCGCCATCGCCACCCCACTCGATAACTCCGACACTATCGTCACATCCTCTCGCGACAAGTCCATCATCCTCTGGAAACTCAACAAAGACGACAAGTCCTACGGCGTCGCTCAGCGCCGCCTCACCGGCCACTCCCACTTCGTCGAGGACGTAGTTCTCTCCTCCGACGGACAGTTCGCACTCTCCGGGAGCTGGGACGGCGAGCTTCGTCTCTGGGATCTCGCCATGGGAGTCTCCACTCGACGTTTCGTGGGGCACACGAAAGACGTTTTATCCGTCGCTTTCTCGACAGATAACCGTCAGATTGTGTCTGCTTCTCGTGACGGTACGATCAAGCTGTGGAATACTCTTGGAGAATGCAAGTACACGATCGGGTCCGATCAAAGCGATGGCCACAAGCAGTGGGTTAGTTGCGTTAGGTTTAGTCCCAACACTCTTGTTCCGACCATTGTGTCTGCTTCTTGGGATCAGACCGTGAAGGTTTGGAATCTTCAGAACTGTAAGATTAGGAACACTCTCGCTGGCCACTCTGGTTACCTCAACACTGTGGCTGTGTCTCCTGATGGGTCTTTGTGTGCTAGTGGTGGGAAAGATGGTGCGATCTTGCTTTGGGATTTGGCTGAAGGGAAGAAGATTTACTCTCTTGAGGGTGGTTCGATTATTCACTCTCTCTGCTGTAGTCCCAATAGGTACTGGCTGTGTGCAGCTACGGAGAGTAGTATTAGGATATGGGATCTTGAGAGCAAGAGTATTGTTGAGGATTTGAAGGTTGATCTCAAGGCTGAGGCTGAGAAGTCTGATGCTTCTGTTGGAACAGGAAACAAGACAAAGGTATAAACTTTTTTGTACTGAATTATCCAGTTCTGTTACCTTTTATCTTTAGTTGATATGAATGCATTTTGATTTTATTGATGTGAAAGTATCTGAATGTCTGAAGTGGGTTTAAGTTTGTTGTTTGCTATTACAAACTGATGTGTATGTGTATGTGTATGTTTCTAATGTGGAATGCAAAAAAATACAGGTGATCTATTGCACGAGCTTGAACTGGAGTGCAGATGGAAGCACATTGTTCAGCGGATACACTGATGGAGTTATCAGAGTTTGGGGTCTTGGTCGTTATTAGAGAGAAAAAAAAGACATGACTTGGAATTAATTCCCGAGAAAAAGTTTATTAATATCTCTTATTTTTTCATCAACTCAAATGGCTTCTCTTCTGTTTTAGTGGTTTTGAGATTGATTTGTTTTTGTATTTCCAGGACCACTCATAGGCATATGATATTGATCTGTTAAAACTCTATTTGATATTTGGTTTTTACACATATTATTGGAGTTTAAGAGAGGGCTTGTGGAGTGAAACGATGTTGTGCAAGTAAGCACCATGGGGCGATATGTCGATCACGCTTCTTCTTTTCAAATTTGACCCCGTTAAAACCTTTTTTCCTCGACTGGTTGTCTTACGAGGCGATGGACTGGTCTTGTGTTCCTGAAACTGATTTTAAACTCTGCCATTTGAACAAGTCTATTTGTAATAGAGAACGCAACACTTACAAATCAAAAACAAAATCAGGAGTCATGAATCAAGGATGCCAAGTTGTCTTCAGGGTGGATTTCAGTATCCATTCATTGTATTAGTCAAGTTCAGAACTTAAAACTTGATGCGCTAAAACAACCGGGCATCGAAAAATATAATCATCTTATTTACTCTTCCTAGTCAGAAACGAAGATCCTCTGACATGTTTCAGGTTCATAAACTGCTAGTGTGCAATACTTCAATTTCTATGTGGTTAGTTCATGTTTCTAAATTTATAGATATTCGACAACCAAGTTCAGGTATAGTTATGACAAGATATAATGGCTTCACAAGAAAGATCGACATGTCTATTCCATACCATGCTTGTTTTTTGGCAGTCTGAATGAATCTGTTAGAGAGTTAGTTTGTTGTTAATAGTCGTTTAATCCTTGTTTGGATTGTATATAATCTCAGTCCACGTTTCACTTTACATATTCTTAGGTCTGTTTGGACTATATTTCAGCTTGATGTTCATCTTCTTTCTCGATCTTCAGCTCGAAATAACTTCGTCACTTATAGAAGGTGGAAGCACTTAAACGTCACGCAAAGCTTCATGTTACAAATCGTTCAGCTAATCTTTTTTTTTTTTTTTTTGTAACATCGTTCAGCTAATCTATTCTATTAAATAGCAACATAACCGTGACCAGATTAAATAACTGAAATACAAATTATTTAAAATTGGGCATAAAGCAGTTACCTAAGCTTTTATTACTCTTTTTACACGCAATTAAGTAGAATTCATCCACTATATTTGCAATGGACAGAACCCACCACTTTTCTCAACTTTTCTGACAAGTAAAGAATTTTATAGTTATATATTTTATCAGATAGTTAATATATATTTGTTCACCTTCTTTTTGTTAATTGACTTGATAGATTTTAAGATTAATAGCTTTGGACTGACAAGAACGATTTATTTGAGATATGTATGTATACATATATAATTTTAATTTAACATTTTATTTTTCTTCATCTAATACATTTTACCCATGTAAGAAAAACTATAATATATTAAAGCACAAACAAAAATATTAAAATCATTAAGATGAATACATAATTTTCCAGCCATATGTCGTATTATAACAGTCTTTGTTACAGTTTAACATGACCTTTGTATCTCTTTCAAAATTTGTTCTTTTTTTTTTGAGAAAATCTCTTTCAGAATTTCATTTGGATACAATACAAAAAAATAAGAGAACTAAATAAATTGCACAATGAACGAACAAATCTCAAAACTACCATAAAAGCTTGATAGTCTATAGGTGGAATCAATTACAAGAACAACATGAGCTCATATGAATCTACTCTAAATATTCAACCGTCTTATAATTAAATACATTTAACTAGGTGTTTTGCCCGCACTTGCCGGCATAATTCTCTTATGAAAATTTATTAGTTGATGTTTCATTAATTTAAAAATCAGTCTAGTAAGTTATTATTTATGTTTCCAAAATTAAAAATCAAAGATCAAATAATTATCAATGACAAAACTCAAACATCAGAAATATTTAAAAGAATCTTTCTATAACTATTTTTTCGATCTATATTTAATTATAATATTTATATCTTTATTTTAAAATTTATAATATAAAAACATATTTTCAAGATAACAATATAATGCTTAAGTTATTTATTTTCTGAAAATATAATATGATAATTTTTTTAACTATATAATAATTATATAAGATTATAGGCATATAATTAAAATTAACTAAAATCATTGAGAACTTAATGAATCAGTAAATTCACTTCTTAAATAATTTTTCTTGAGTGATGATTTATATTTAATTAATAATAGATAATTTCTATTTTACTTTTAAATTATCTAATATAAAAATATATTTTCAGGATAACAATATAATACATAAGAATTACCATATTCTCTAAAAGTATAATATTATTAGTGTAAATTTATTACAATTATAGAATAACTATAACTTTTGTATCTTTATTTTAAATTTCAAATAGAAAACTATATTTTCAAGACAGAAACTTAATATATAAGAAGTATTTTACTTTCTAAGAATCTGATACTATTAATATAAATTTGTTTTAAATTTATTATATAAAATTATATAAATTGATAAATTATCTAAATTACCTAAAACCATGGAAAATATGACGAATCAGAAAACATCAAATTCACTTCTTAAATAATATTATATAATTTTTTACATGTTAATTTTAAATTTTATAATAGAAAAAGTTTTTTTCAAGATAACAGCATAATACATAAGAATTAACTTATTTTCTAAAATATCATATTATTAATATAAATTAGTTTAATTATATAATAAATAATAAACAAAATTATAGAAATTCTGATAAATGATCAAAATTACCTAGGATCATGGAGACAAATCAACAAATTCCCTTTTCAAATAATTGTTTTCATGATTTATATTTAATTATGATTTATATTTAATTATTAATAATACAATTTTTATATCTTAATTTTAAGTTCTATAATAGGAAAATATATATTCAACATAACAACACAATCCATAATAATTATCTTATTTTAGAATAAATATTAAATTATTAATATAAATTCGTTTTAATTATATTTAAATATTAAATTATGAGTAGAAAATTCTTTTAAATAAATATAATAGTGTTTATATCTTAATTTAAAATTTAAGTTTTATATACAAAAATATATTTCAAGATATCAACATAATTCACAAGAATTATCTTATTTACTAAAAATATGATATATTCATATAAATTCGTTTTATTTATAAACAAAATTACCTAAACTTAAGGAGAACATGACACCTCAGCAAATTTACTGCTTAAATAATAGTATAGATTAAATAGGTCTAAGGGACGGATATATTTTTTATTTAATTTTTTCTAAGAAATTTAATTTTTATATTTGTATTTTCGTAATTATATTTGTAATTAATATTAATTTGATTTAATATATTTTTGTAACTATATTAAATAATCAAGTTGTATAACTATACACTTATGTAATATATATTTCAGAAATTATTTTTAAACTTTATTCCTAAATTTTACAACATATTGTATTTGCTTAGTAGTTATCTAACATAATTAGTCAAAAATATTTGTATCTGAAACACCCAACTCAAAATCTCATAGTACTCTATCAAACATGACCTATATATTCGAACAGTTATTAAAGTGTTATATTTGAAAACTAATATCAAATCCAATCCGTACCATAAAAAGAATAAAATTTTGAATTTTTTTTGAAAATATTATTTTTAATATCGGATAGGTTAATTATAAAACACAAGACATGAAACCAAAGAGCTAGAAGAATTGGTTGTAATGTTCAAAAAATGATAAATACCTTGGGTTTCCACATGTTGATAAAAGATCTTTATGTGATTGGTAAATGTATTCATAGAAAAACAATATTTGAGTGGGTTAATATGATTATCCGTTATTGATCCTTCACCATTCATTTTCTGTTTAAATACATCTTTATAGCTGTAGAGATGGGTTCCGAAAATTTAGAAGTAGGGCTGGGATTTTATTCGGGATCCGGATTTGATCCGAGATCCGCTCCAGATTCGATCTAAAATTAGGATATTCGGGGGTGTCTGAATCCAAATTCGGATAGTAAATCTCGGATCCGTGCAAACCGAATCCGGATCCGGATATCTTAATTTTTAGGTCCGGATATCCGGATTCGGATCCGTATTTTTAGAAATATATTCGATTTTTTATTTTATTATTAATTATATCTGATATATAAATATTTATACGTAAAAAATAAATAATATAATAATATTATATTTCATATATATATATATTCATAAATTAAGCTTAAATATTTAGTTTACATATTATTTTTAGAGTTTTTATTTTTATTTTTAAAATAATTATTTTTACGGATCTAGATCCGAATCTGGATATCCGCGGATATCACAATATCTAGACGGATATCTAAAACTCAGATATCCAGAAAACACAAATCCGAATTCGGATACTAAAATCACGGATCCGACGAATTCATATACGGATTCAGATACTTCAAATTTCCCAGATATCTGGATCCGTCCCACCCCTATTTAGAAGTTAAAGTAAATGTTACAAAAAAAAAATATTAACAAATAAGTAGTATTTACGGTAGTTTTTATAATAATGTAGTGATTAGTGTTTAAATAAAATTAGTTACATTTGTATAAATAAAATAATAAGTGGTCCTTAAATAAAGAAAGTAAATAGTTGGACTAAACATATATCAATAGGTTATTTTTAATTTATTAGAAAAAATTACAAATATAATTTAAATAACATAAATATAAAAATTAAAATTTGCAAAAAAAAATTAAACATAAAAATTTACCCTCCTTTAAAAGAAGAATCAGAATCTAGTTAACTGTTTTAAAACTAAATAATAAAACTATAAGTGTCAAAATGGACTAAGTCATTCATTTAAACTCCCTACCAACGATTTGAAATATATTGCAAAACCAGTAAGCACTGAAGTCTTCAAAGATTAATACTTCCATATGACCCAATAATTCAACCTGTACGAATTTTCCATTTCTCTATCAAGCTACGAAATTCATAAT